CCTGGTGTTGTCTCCTGGTGTTGTCTCAGACACTCCAGGTGTTGTCTCAGACACTCCTCCTGGTGTTGGTGTTGTCTCAGACACTCCAGGTGTTGTCTCAGACACTCCAGGTGTTGTCTCAGACACTCCAGGTGTTGTCTCAGACACTCCTGGTGTTGTCTCAGACACTCCAGGTGTTGTCTCAGACACTCCAGGTGTTGTCTCAGACACTCCAGGTGTTGTCTCAGACACTCCTCAGGTGTTGTCTCAGACACTCCAGGTGTTGTCTCAGACACTCCCAGACACTCCAGGTGTTGTCTCAGACACTCCTGGTGTTGTCTCAGACACTCCAGGTGTTGTCTCAGACACTCCTGGTGTTGTCTCAGACACTCCTGGTGTTGTCTCAGACACTCCAGGTGTTGTCTCAGACACTCCTGGTGTTGTCTCAGACACTCCAGGTGTTGTCTCAGACACTCCTGGTGTTGTCTCAGACACTCCTGGTGTTGTCTCAGACACTCCAGGTGTTGTCTCAGACACTCCAGGTGTTGTCTCAGACACTCCTGGTGTTGTCTCAGACACTCCAGGTGTTGTCTCAGACACTCCAGGTGCTGTCTCAGACACTCCAGGTGTTGTCTCAGACACTCCAGGTGTTGTCTCAGACACTCCTGGTGTTGTCTCAGACACTCCAGGTGTTGTCTCAGACACTCCTGGAGTTGTCTCAGACACTTCTAGTGTTGCCTCAGACACTCCAGGTGTTGTCTCAGACACTTCTAGTGTTGCCTCAGACACTCCAGGTGTTGTCTCAGACACTTCTAGTGTTGCCTCAGACACTCCTGGTGTTGTCTCAGACACTCCAGGTGTTCTTTCAGACACTCCAGCTAGGTGTTGTCTCAGACACTTCAGGTGTTGTCTCAGACACTCCAGGTGTTGTCTCAGACACTTCTAGTGTTGCCTCAGACACTCCAGGTGTTGTCTCAGACACTTCATGTGTTGTCTCAGACACTCCAGCTAGGTGTTGTCTCAGACACTTCAGGTGTTGTCTCAGACACTCCAGGTGTTGTCTCAGACACTTCAGGTGTTGTCTCAGACACTCCAGCTAGGTGTTGTCTCAGACACTCCTGGTGTTGTCTCAGACACTCCAGGTGTTGTCTCAGACACTCCAGGTGTTGTCTCAGACACTCCTGGTGTTGTCTCAGACACTCCAGGTGTTGTCTCAGACACTCCAGGTGTTGTCTCAGACACTCCTGGTGTTGTCTCAGACACTCCAGGTGTTGTCTCAGACACTCCTGGTGTTGTCTCAGACACTCCAGGTGTTGTCTCAGACACTCCAGGTGTTGTCTCAGACACTCCAGGTGTTGTCTCAGACACTCCTGGTGTTGTCTCAGACACTCCAGGTGTTGTCTCAGACACTCCAGGTGTTGTCTCAGACACTCCAGGTGTTGTCTCAGACACTCCTGGTGTTGTCTCAGACACTCCTGGTGTTGTCTCAGACACTCCTGGTGTTGTCCCAGACACTCCAGGTGTTGTCTCAGACACTCCTGGTGTTGTCTCAGACACTCCAGGTGTTGTTTCAGACACTCCTGGTGTTGTCTCAGACACTCCTGGTGTTGTCTCAGACACTCCAGGTGTTGTCTCAGACACTCCTGGTGTTGTCTCAGACACTTCAGGTGTTGTCTCAGACACTTCTAGTGTTGCCTCAGACACTCCAGGTGTTGTCTCAGACACTCCTGGTGTTGTCTCAGACACTCCAGGTGTTGTCTCAGACACTTCTAGTGTTGCCTCAGACACTCCTGGTGATGTCTCAGACACTCCAGGTGCTGTCTCAGACACTCCAGGTGTTGTCTCAGACACTCCAGGTGTTGTCTCAGACACTCCTGGTGTTGTCTCAGACACTCCAGGTGTTGTCTCAGACACTCCTGGAGTTGTCTCAGACACTTCTAGTGTTGCCTCAGACACTCCAGGTGTTGTCTCAGACACTTCTAGTGTTGCCTCAGACACTCCAGGTGTTGTCTCAGACACTTCCAGTGTTGCCTCAGACACTCCTGGTGTTGTCTCAGACACTCCAGGTGTTGTCTCAGACACTTCTAGTGTTGCCTCAGACACTCCAGCTAGGTGTTGTCTCAGACACTTCAGGTGTTGTCTCAGACACTCCAGGTGTTGTCTCAGACACTTCTAGTGTTGCCTCAGACACTCCAGGTGTTGTCTCAGACACTTCAGGTGTTGTCTCAGACACTCCAGCTAGGTGTTGTCTCAGACACTTCAGGTGTTGTCTCAGACACTCCAGGTGTTGTCTCAGACACTTCAGGTGTTGTCTCAGACACTCCAGCTAGGTGTTGTCTCAGACACTCCTGGTGTTGTCTCAGACACTCCAGGTGTTGTCTCAGACACTCCAGGTGTTGTCTCAGACACTCCTGGTGTTGTCTCAGACACTCCAGGTGTTGTCTCAGACACTCCAGGTGTTGTCTCAGACACTCCTGGTGTTGTCTCAGACACTCCAGGTGTTGTCTCAGACACTCCTGGTGTTGTCTCAGACACTCCAGGTGTTGTCTCAGACACTCCAGGTGTTGTCTCAGACACTCCAGGTGTTGTCTCAGACACTCCTGGTGTTGTCTCAGACACTCCAGGTGTTGTCTCTGACACTCCAGGTGTTGTCTCAGACACTCCAGGTGTTGTCTCAGACACTCCTGGTGTTGTCTCAGACACTCCTGGTGTTGTCCCAGACACTCCAGGTGTTGTCTCAGACACTCCTGGTGTTGTCTCAGACACTCCAGGTGTTGTTTCAGACACTCCTGGTGTTGTCTCAGACACTCCTGGTGTTGTCTCAGACACTCCAGGTGTTGTCTCAGACACTCCTGGTGTTGTCTCAGACACTCCAGGTGTTGTCTCAGACACTTCTAGTGTTGCCTCAGACACTCCAGGTGTTGTCTCAGACACTCCTGGTGTTGTCTCAGACACTCCAGGTGTTGTCTCAGACACTTCTAGTGTTGCCTCAGACACTCCTGGTGATGTCTCAGACACTCCAGGTGCTGTCTCAGACACTCCAGGTGTTGTCTCAGACACTCCAGGTGTTGTCTCAGACACTCCTGGTGTTGTCTCAGACACTCCAGGTGTTGTCTCAGACACTCCTGGAGTTGTCTCAGACACTTCTAGTGTTGCCTCAGACACTCCAGGTGTTGTCTCAGACACTTCTAGTGTTGCCTCAGACACTCCAGGTGTTGTCTCAGACACTTCTAGTGTTGCCTCAGACAATCCTGGTGTTGTCTCAGACACTCCAGGTGTTGTCTCAGACACTTCTAGTGTTGCCTCAGACACTCCAGCTAGGTGTTGTCTCAGACACTTCAGGTGTTGTCTCAGACACTCCAGGTGTTGTCTCAGACACTTCTAGTGTTGCCTCAGACACTCCAGGTGTTGTCTCAGACACTTCAGGTGTTGTCTCAGACACTCCAGCTAGGTGTTGTCTCAGACACTTCAGGTGTTGTCTCAGACACTCCAGGTGTTGTCTCAGACACTTCAGGTGTTGTCTCAGACACTCCAGCTAGGTGTTGTCTCAGACACTCCTGGTGTTGTCTCAGACACTCCAGGTGTTGTCTCAGACACTCCAGGTGTTGTCTCAGACACTCCAGGTGTTGTCTCAGACACTCCAGCTAGGTGTTGTCTCAGACACTCCAGGTGTTGTCTCAGACACTTCTAGTGTTGCCTCAGACACTCCAGGTGTTGTCTCAGACACTCCTGGTGTTGTCTCAGACACTCTAGGTGTTGTCTCAGACACTCCAGGTGTTGTCTCAGACACTCCAGGTGTTGTCTCAGACACTTCTAGTGTTGTCTCAGACACTCCAGGTGTTGTCTCAGACACTCCAGGTGTTGTCTCAGACACTCCAGCTAGGTGTTGTCTCAGACACTCCAGGTGTTGTCTCAGACACTTCTAGTGTTGCCTCAGACACTCCAGGTGTTGTCTCAGACACTCCTGGTGTTGTCTCAGACACTCTAGGTGTTGTCTCAGACACTCCAGGTGTTGTCTCAGACACTTCTAGTGTTGCCTCAGACACTCCTGATGATGTCTCAGACACTCCAGGTGTTGTCTCAGACACTCCAGGTGTTGACTCAGACACTCCAGGTGTTGTCTCAGACACTCCAGGTGTTGTCTCAGACACTCCAGGTGTTGTCTCAGACACTCCAGGTGTTGTCTCAGACACTCCTGGTGTTGTCTCAGACACTCCTGGTGTTGTCTCAGACACTCCAGGTGTTGTCTCAGACACTCCTGGTGTTGTCTCAGACACTCCAGGTGTTGTCTCAGACACTTCTAGTGTTGCCTCAGACACTCCAGGTGTTGTCTCAGACACTCCTGGTGTTGTCTCAGACACTCCAGGTGTTGTCTCAGACACTTCTAGTGTTGCCTCAAACACTCCTGGTGATGTCTCAGACACTTCTGGTGATGTCTCAGACACTCCAGGTGTTGTCTCAGACACTTCTAGTGTTGTCTCAGACACTCCAGGTGTTGTCTTAGACAAGGGACCAGCTCTACTGTTCTTGTGTAGTGAACCACCATCAACTGATTACTGGCTAGGTAGTGATATGATTCAACTGTCTCTGATGAGACAGAAGATGACGGACTGATGAGCCCAACCGTTTCCGTGGTGTAGTGGTAAGACACTCGCCTGGCGTTCCGCGAGCGCTTTGTCATGGGTTCATATCCTGGCCTGGGAGGATTTACTGGGCGTAAATCCTTAACTGTAGCCTCTGTTTAACTCAACAGTAAAATGGGTTCTTGGTTGTAAACACAATTCTTCGTGGGGGTCGTATTCCAGGGACTCTCCCGAAACGCTACGCGTACTAGTTACTGTACAAGAACGTAACAACTATTGTATATATCTCAGAAAAAAACTGTGTTTATAGGAGATAAACTAATAACTTGAGTGTTATGAGATAGTTATACTTATCGCTTTAATCGTATCATCATGTAACTTCCCACAACAGCTTACTGTGTACAAAATAGTGAAGCTCTGATCTCTAATATCTTCCAGGTTGTGAACCCGCTCAACTCTGACGGCGCTGCCTTGATGGAGGTGAGCATGGTTGAGCTCCAAGCCTACGACCCTTGCGTGTTGCAGGAACATGTTGATAGACAGTTCTTCCTTGCATTCAACTTCAACGCGATCAACAACACCTTGTTGTACAGACCTGATCACTACCCCTACAATGCTGGTATGCTTTGGAACTATTCAGTACAGTTAAACTAATAAAGTTCATTGGCTGGAGATATTTATATATATATATATATATATATATATATATATATATATATATATATATATATATATATATATATATATATATATATATATATATATATATATATATATATATATATATATATATATATATATATATATATATATATGGATGTGGTTTTCACGCTAGGAAATGATAATTCTTACATGAATATTATGTTCAGTTAACCACACATCAGAAGCTAAAGTGACGACAACGGTTGGGCCGTTGTCGTCACACCGTTGTCGTCACACCGTTGTCGTCACACCGTTGTCGTCACACCGTTGTCGTCACACCGTTGTCGTCACACCGTTGTCCTCGACCATTATCATGTCGTGTCAACTTCAGTTTTCTTTTCAAATTTGTTTCATTCTTTCTTAATGACGAGATTTTAGAAATTATTTTTTAATAACCACGAAAATTATATTTATTAGTATAATTCTTTGTTTACTGTAGTGAGACACATATCAGAGTACACTGTAGTGAGACACATATCAGAGCACACTGTAGTGAGACACATATCAGAGTACACTGTAGTGAGACATATTGATCAGAGTACACAATAGTGAGACATATATCAGAGCACACTGTAGTGAGACACATATCAAATTACACTGTAGTGAGACATATCAGAGTACACTGTAGTGAGACACATATATCAGAGCACACAATAGTGAGACATATATCAGAGCACACTGTAGTGAGACACATATCAAAGTACACTGTAGTGAGACACTTATATCAGAGCTCACAATAGTGAGACATATATCAGAATACACTGTAGTGAGACACATATCAGAGCACACTATAGTGAGACACATATATTAGAGCACACTGTAGTGAGACATACATCAGAGCACACTGTAGTGAGACATACATCAGAGCACACTGTAATGAGACATATATCAGAGCACACTGTAGTGAGACATATCAGAGCACACTGTAGTGAGACACATATATTAGAGCAAACTGTAGTGAGTACAATGCAATGAGACATATTATTCAGAATATAATGCAATGAGACACATTGATCAGAGAACACTCTAGTGAGGTGCATTGATTAGAGTACACTGTAGTGAGAAACATTGATTAGAGTACACTGTAGTATGACACATTGATCAGAGTACACTGTAGTGAGACACACTGATTAGAGTACACTGTAGTGAGACACATGGATTAGAGTACACTGTAGTGAGACACATGGATTAGAGTACACTGTAGTGAGACACATGGATTAGAGTACACTGTAGTGAGACACATGGATTAGAGTACACTGTAGTGAGACACATGGATTAGAGTACACTGTAGTGAGACACATGGATTAGAGTACACTGTAGTGAGACACATGGATTAGAGTACACTGTAGTGAGACACATGGATTAGAGTACACTGTAGTGAGACACATGGATTAGAGTACACTGTAGTGAGACACATGGATTAGAGTACACTGTAGTGAGACACATGGATTAGAGTACACTGTAGTGAGACACATGGATTAGAGTACACTGTAGTGAGACACATGGATTAGAGTACACTGTAGTGAGACACATGGATTAGAGTACACTGTAGTGAGACACATGGATTAGAGTACACTGTAGTGAGACACATGGATTAGAGTACACTGTAGTGAGACACATGGATTAGAGTACACTGTAGTGAGACACATGGATTAGAGTACACTGTAGTGAGACACATGGATTAGAGTACACTGTAGTGAGACACATGGATTAGAGTACACTGTAGTGAGACACATGGATTAGAGTACACTGTAGTGAGACACATGGATTAGAGTACACTGTAGTGAGACACATGGATTAGAGTACACTGTAGTGAGACACGTGGATTAGAGTACACTGTAGTGAGACACATGGATTAGAGTACACTGTAGTGAGACACATGGATTAGAGTACACTGTAGTGAGACACATGGATTAGAGTACACTGTAGTGAGACACATGGATTAGAGTACACTGTAGTGAGACACATGGATTAGAGTACACTGTAGTGAGACACATGGATTAGAGTACACTGTAGTGAGACACATGGATTAGAGTACACTGTAGTGAGACACATGGATTAGAGTACACTGTAGTGAGACACATGGATTAGAGTACACTGTAGTGAGACACATGGATTAGAGTACACTGTAGTGAGACACATGGATTAGAGTACACTGTAGTGAGACACATGGATTAGAGTACACTGTAGTGAGACACATGGATTAGAGTACACTGTAGTGAGACACATGGATTAGAGTACACTGTAGTGAGACACATGGATTAGAGTACACTGTAGTGAGACACATGGATTAGAGTACACTGTAGTGAGACACATGGATTAGAGTACACTGTAGTGAGACACATGGATTAGAGTACACTGTAGTGAGACACATGGATTAGAGTACACTGTAGTGAGACACATGGATTAGAGTACACTGTAGTGAGACACATGGATTAGAGTACACTGTAGTGAGACACATATCAGAGTACACTGTAGTGAGACACACAGCTTTTTTTCAGTTATATAGAACAAAAATTAAGGAAAGGATATGTCCAATAAAAACTTAGACAGGTCAGCAGATAATGACGAAGAGATGAGTGGTATTTTTAAGTGATATTTTTGAATAGTTGTTGAGTGAGACACATTGATCAGAGTACAATGCAATGAGACATATTATTCAGAATATAATGCAATGAGACACATTGATCAGAGAACACTCTAGTGAGGTGCATTGATTAGAGTACACTGTAGTGAGAAACATTGATTAGAGTACACTGTAGTATGACACATTGATCAGAGTACACTGTAGTGAGACACACTGATCAGAGTACACTGTAGTGAGGTGCATTGTACTCTGATCAATGCAATGGTGAGACACATTGATCATAGTACACTGTAGTGAGGTACATTGATCAGAGTACACTGTAGTGAGACACATGGATTAGAGTACACTGTAGTGAGACACATGGATTAGAGTACACTGTAGTGAGACACATTGATCAGAGTACACTGTAGTGAGACACATTGATCAGAGTACACTTTTATGGAAGGAATGACATGTATGCTCGGGAAGGGGGTGCATTTATCTAGGGCTGGGGTTGTTGCTGTTGCGAACTCGTTGGAACCTCTGGCGGGAGGGGTTTGTTTGGGTCTAAACTGTTAGTAGATAGAGGTATGGGAATTGACATGGAGAAAGGAGGTAATAAAAGTATGTGTTTGTTGGGAGAAACAAATTGGCAAAATGGTCGGGTAAAGAGAAGGGCCTCAATATAACAATACACTTAGGGTATATTACACTAACAGTAGGAGTCCAAGCAACAAAATAAACGATTGAAATGTTCTTGTCTGCACAGAAAAAAATAAGATATTAATGCACTTACCTAAACGTGGTTGAATGTAGAAAATAGAGAACTATTTGCTGAATATCAAATAAGTAGATTTAAACTATTTCACACAGATAGATATATTAGACGAGGTGGGGGAGTAGCATATATGTTAGGGACAATCTGAAATGTAGTCTCAAGGAGAGACTCAAAACTGAGCCACACACAGAAGCTATTTGGCTAGTATTAAACGAAGAAGTTTAAAATCTTATAATTGGAGTTATATACAGACCACCAATCTTAGAGAAAATGGAAGCAAAGTATCTATGGCACGAAATATCTAGAGGATCTTGATCTAACAGTATTTGTGTAATGGGTGACTTTAATTTTAGTGGAATAATCTGGATTAACAGAACAGGGAATAATGAAGCAAAATATTGTCTATAATTAATTGACAATTGCTTTCTTTATCAACACATTAAGAAATCAACGCGGGAAATAATATTTTAGACTTTAGTGTTAATTAACTAACAGGGAAACACAAATTAATGACATCGAAATAGGGAGTGAGCTAGGGAACAGTGATCACAAAGAAATCAGATTTAGCATAGAATGGAATAGATTTGTTGGAGAAAATTCTGTTCAAGTGCCAGGTTTTCGAGAAGCTGATTTTAAAGACCTAAGCTTTTTTTTTATGAAATTGATTGGAAAGTCCTGGGCATGGGGGGTGGGCCGGTCTTGCAGCGAGACGTGAACCCATCAATGGGTGATGTAAAAACGGATTTCGATGTGGATTCAAAATATAATTTATTTCAAAATATTCTTAGCAAAGCACAGGAACGTAGTATACCATACAAACTGAATAGATCGAATGACCTGAAATGGATAATAAAGGATCTGAAGAACCTTATATTCAGAAAGAGAGCTTGGTGCAAAAGGATTAAGAATGGGGAGGTCAGTTTAGAACAAGAATTCGTCCAACTCGTTAGAAACGTTAAAAAAGATATAAGGAGGGCAAAAAGAATCTATGAAGTTCGTATAGCAAGCCAAGCAGAGGCAAATCCCAAAGGATTTTTTTCAGTTATATCGAACAAAGATTAGGGAAAGGATATGTCCATTGAAAACTGAGACAGTTCAAATAACGGATAATGATTAAGAGATGAGTAATACTTTTAATAAATATTTTTTCTCTGTATTTACTAAAGAGGAACATAACTCTATGCCTTCAACCGTCTATGTGGGTGGGGACGAGTACACTGAAGTGAGACACATTGATCAGAGTACACTGTAGTAAGTCATGTTGATCAGAGTACACTGTAGTCAGACACATTGATCAGAGTACACTATAGTAAGTCATATTGATCAGAGAACACTCAATCCAAAAAAAATGCCCTCATCTCTTCTTCATTCACAATGATCTCTTATTTCCTTCCAAATTCCTCTTGTCTCATGCAACACTGACTCTTGTCCCGTCTCATACAACACTGTCTCTTGTCCCGTCTCCTGCAACACTGTCTCTTGTCCCGTCTCCTGCAACACTGTCTCTTGTATCGTCTTATGCAACACTGACTCTTGTATCGTCTCATGCAACACTGACTCTTGTATCGTCTCATGCAACACTGACTCTTGTATCGTCCCATGCAACACTGACTCTTTTCCCGTCTCATGCAACACTGACTCTTCACCCGTCTCAAGCAACACTGACTCTTGTCCCGTCTCATGCAACACTGACTCTTGTATCGTCTCATGCAACACTGACTCTTTTCCCGTCTCATGCAACACTGACTCTTCACCCGTCTCAAGCAACACTGACTCTTGTCCCGTCTCATGCAACACTGACTCTTGTCCCGTCTCATGCAACACTGACTCTTGTCCCGTCTCATGCAACACTGACTCTTGTCACGTCTGCAACACTGACTCTTGTCCCGTCTCATGCAACACTGACTCTTGTCCCGTCTGCAACACTGACTCTTGTCCCGTCTCATGCAACACTGACTTTTGTCCCGTCTGCAACACTGACTCTTGTCCAGTCTCATGCAACACTGACTCTTGTCCAGTCTCATGCAACACTGACTCTTGTCCCGTCTCCTGCAACACTGACTCTTGTCCCGTCTGCAACACTGACTCTTGTCCAGTCTCATGCAACACTGACTCTTGTCCAGTCTCATGCAACACTGACTCTTGTCCAGTCTCCTGCAACACTGACTCTAGTCCCGTCTCATGCAACACTGACTCTTGTCCAGTCTCATGCAACACTGACTCTTGTCCCGTCTCATGCAACACTGACTCTTGTCCCGTCTGCAACACTGACTCTTGTCCAGTCTCATGCAACACTGACTCTTGTCCAGTCTCATGCAACACTGACTCTTGTCCAGTCTCATGCAACACTGACTCTTGTCCAGTCTCATGCAACACTGACTCTTGTCCCGTCTCATGCAACACTGACTCTTGTCCCGTCTGCAACACTGACTCTTGTCCCGTCTCATGCAACACTGACTCTTGTCACGTCTGCAACACTGACTCTTGTCCCGTCTCATGCAACACTGACTCTTGTCCCGTCTGCAACACTGACTCTTGTCCAGTCTCATGCAACACTGACTCTTGTCCCGTCTCCTGCAACACTGACTCTTGTCCCGTCTGCAACACTGACTCTTGTCCCGTCTCCTGCAACACTGACTCTTGTCCCGTCTCCTGCAACACTGACTCTTGTCCCGTCTCCTGCAACACTGACTCTTGTCCCGTCTGCAACACTGACTCTTGTCCAGTCTCATGCAACACTGACTCTTGTCCCGTCTCCTGCAACACTGACTCTTGTCCCGTCTCATGCAACACTGACTCTTGTCCCGTCTGCAACACTGACTCTTGTCCCGTCTCCTGCAACACTGACTCTTGTCCCGTCTCCTGCAACACTGACTCTTGTCCCGTCTCCTGCAACACTGAATGTGGTCGGGACACAGTATTAACCAGACTTGTACTTCACAGTGTCGAAGACGTGGAGGGTGAAGACCCCGCAAGTCAACAACCTGACCTTCGTCTTCCCAGCATCACCGCCTCTCTCCCAGCCCCTGGCCCCGCAGCCCACTCTCTGTCCCTACGGCCAGGTGAGTCCCAGCCCCTGGCCCCCCAGCCCACTCTCTGTCCCTACGGCCAGGTCAGTCCCAGCCCCTGGCCCCCCAGCCCACTCTCTGTCCCTACGGCCAGGTCAGTCCCAGCCCCTGGCCCCCCAGCCCACTCTCTGTCCCTACGGCCAGGTGAGTCCCAGCCCCTGGCTCCCCAGCCCACTCTGTCCCTACGGCCAGGTCAGTCCCAGCCCCTGGCCCCCCAGCCCACTCTCTGTCCCTACGGCCAGGTCAGTCCCAGCCCCTGGCCCCCCAGCCCACTCTCTGTCCCTACGGCCAGGTCAGTCCCAGCCCCTGGCCCCCCAGCCCACTCTCTGTCCCTACGGCCAGGTCAGTCCCAGCCCCTGGCCCCCTAGCCCACTCTCTGTCCCTACGGCCAGGTCAGTCCCAGCCCCTGGCACCCCAGCCCACTCTCTGTCCCTACGGCCAGGTCAGTCCCAGCCCCTGGCCCCCCAGCCCACTTCTCTGTCCCTACGGCCAAGTCAGTCCCAGCCCCTGGCCCCCCAGCCCACTCTCTGTCCCTACGGCCAGGTGAGTCCCAGCCCCTGGCCCCCCAGCCCACTCTCTGTCCCTACGGCCAGGTGAGTCCCAGCCCCTGGCCCCCCAGCCCACTCTCTGTCCCTACGGCCAGGTCAGTCCCAGCCCCTGGCTCCCCAGCCCACTCTCTGTCCCTACGGCCAGGTCAGTCCCAGCCCCTGGCCCCCCAGCCCACTCTCTGTCCCAACGGCCAGGTCAGTCCTAGCCCCTGCATGGCCCCCCAGCCCACTCTCTGTCCCTACGGCCAGGTCAGTCCCAGCCCCTGGCCCCCCAGCCCACTCTCTGTCCCTACGGCCAGGTCAGTCCTAGCCCCTGCATGGCACCCCAGCCCATGGCCCCCAGCCCCTGGCCCCCCAGCTCCTGGCACCCCAGCCCACTCTCTGTCCCTACCGTCAGGTTTGCTCCCCTTCATTGCCACATCTCCTCGCCGGGAATATGAGTGAAAGCATTATATAAACATGTTGTATACCCTAACCTATGTTTAGGAGCGCCAGAGTAAGACCGGGGGGGGGGGGTATTGATGGCCTCCGGGTGATAGTGACACCATATCTCAGCAGCAGCCTGGTTCTCACGCCCAGAGATGGAAGCCTATTGGGCTCACTGAGGCTCCCCGGTCCCTAGGCCAACAACTTTATTTCCCGAGACTCAGCCCACAACAGTCACTTTACTCAAGGGTACTAATATTATGCTTGGTGAATAGACACATTAGATATACAGATACGTGCCCAAGCGTCGCCTGCTGCCAGGGAATCGAAGTCAAAACCATCAATTGTACGTTCACTGCACTATGAACTACAGGAAACCATAATTATCAAGAGCAACACTGTACTAACAATTATACCATAATTTTATATTACCAATTGTAAAGATGAGAAGTATGCCAGTTATAATTTAGAATAACAGATGACCATAATAATGGATAATTATAATGGGGTAAATTAAATTATTTTAATGAGTAAGAAATACAGTGGATCAATACCTAAGAACAGCCGAATGTAACTCTGTCCGTACAAGTAGGCTGAACATGATGAACATGAACAATAGCGAACAATATAACAAAAGTGTGAACAATATCAGTGTGTGTAATGTGAATGATGATTCAAATTGAAGAATGTGAGCACTTGTAAACAGCCACAGGGAAAGTAACAGGCATTATTAGGGAAGTAGACAACAGAGAACAGAGAAATAACAAATAACAGAGAAATACAAATAGCACATAAAGAGGAGAACATAAATGCAAGAAGGTAAGCTACCTAAGCCTGGCAAGTGGTACACGAGGCTCCACCGCGGAAGCATCAGAAGGAAGAAAGTTATCAGGAAAATATCCTATGAGACCACTGAAGGTGGAGTCCGTCGTTGACAAGGGGTTATGTGGGGAGAGAGTCTCCTGCTCCTCAAGTGAGAGTCCATCAGGAAGGAGAACAGAAGCCCTGAGGGAGAGTGGGTAGAAGAGAAGCCCTGAGAAATCCCGTGTGGTGGAGTCAGCAGTGGTGGTGTATTGTTAAATAAAGAAAAGATTACCCATGTTAGTGAGTGTGAGAGGGAGCATGTTAGCGAGTGTGAGAGGGAGCATGTTAGTGTGTGTGAGAGGGAACATGTTAGTAAGTGTGAGAGGGGACATGTTAGTGAGTGTGAGAGGGGGACATGTTAGTGAGTGTGAGAGGGAGCATGTTAGTGAGAGGGAGCATGTTAGTGTGTGTGAGAGGGAGCATGTTAGTGTGTGTGAGAGGGAGCATGTTAGTAAGTGTTAGAGGGGACATGTTAGTAAGTGTGAGAGGGAACATGTTAGCGAGTGTGAGAGGGGGACATGTTAGTGAGTGTGAGAGGGAGCATGTTAGTGAGAGGGAGCATATTAGTGAGTGTTACGGCCCTCTTGGGTCGCAACTGGGTTCTTTCTCTGATGTTAGTAGAGCTTGGGTATCCGGCCCCAAGCTAGTAGTGGCTTTCAAGGGGTGTGCTCCGTAACGCAAGTAAATTAAAGGGGAAGGGATAAAACTGCTCAGAAATAAATATATATTCACCATCACCAATAAATAAATATATAAATAGTCACACGCTGTTACTATAACTACACTTATTTACAATCACTCGTCTTCCTCCGAAGACACAGGATGCTCTGCTTAACGGTGCTCAAGACGAGTAGCCCTGGTTCTCTTCTTGTGGCCTCTAGACGAATCCTTAGATTCTCCCAGCGAGTCTACCCCGGCCACAGGCCAGCCAAATCACAATCCCACTGGGTGCACCGTCGTGGAGGCCGTCAACCACAAATCCAGCCTTTAGCTGGCAGGTTCCAATCAGCAGCGTTGCTGATTGGAACCTGCCAGCTAAACCTGCCAGTAGGCCACTCCACGACCGATACTAGGGTTGCGAACCCTAGGCAGGAGCCTCGTGTGATTCCACAGATCACTCGCCTCACCACAACACCCCAGTGGCTAGTCTTCTCCACCAGTCAGTCCTGGGTACGACAAATCCTCAACTGCCACGCCACAGGCAGGCTAACACAACAGTGTTCATCCGGGGGGGGGGGGGGGGTACTCACAGCTTCGACAGCAAATGCGTGGAGGTTCTACGGCTGCCTTGGGTAGACTGATCCAACGTTCATTACAGCAGTCCCAGGTCGGCTCTGTAATCAGACACGTCATCAGTACCGGTTACACTCTAGGGCACCTCACTTACAGGCTTAGACACAAACGCCCACCTATCCACTCCATAGATGGCATTGCTGTCTAAGCGTCGCCTCACCAGAGGTCAGCAGCGGCTGTGTTATGAGCTGATCAGGACGGGAAACCAGCCTCTGTGGCCGGTACATCTCGTCCTCCCTAGATGGCGTCGTGCATTTGGAGGGGGTTTCGGGAGCTGACCCACAGATGGCGCGGTCGTCACTGCTCCGTGCTCGGACGCTGGGCTCGGGTCCGTAACAGTGAGTGTGAGAGGGGGGCATGTTAGTGTGTGTGAGAGGGAGCATGTTAGTGTGTGTGAGAGGGGGCATTTTAGTGTGTGTGAGAGGGGACATGTTAGTGAGTGTGAGAGGGAGCATGTTAGTGTGTGTAAGAGGGAGCATGTTAGTGTGTGTGAGAGGGGGCATGTTAGTGTGTGTGAGAGGGGCATGTTAGTGAGTGTGAGAGGGAGCATGTTAGTGAGTGTGAGAGGGGGCATGTTAGTGAGTGTGAGAGAGAGCAAATGGTGAAAGTACTTGACAATATTGTTGAGAGGATGTTGTTTAGTGTCAGTTATGGGATTTATTGACTCAGTATAGGCACATAAAACAAATAATTCGAAGTATTAAAATAAAAAATTACTAAACAGATAAAAATATCTATAAAACAGTGCATAGTTTCTTATCTGCTAACTGTTATATTAGTGATAATTTCTTGTGGTCCCTGGCCAGACTGTTGTTTTAGCTCTTTGCTACTGAGTGTGTCCCCTGGCAAGACTGCTGTTATAGCTCTGTGCTACTGAGTGTGTCCCCTGGCAAGACTGTTGTTATAGCTCTGTGTAACTGAGTGTGTCCCCTGGCAAGACTGTTGTTATAGCTCTGTGCTACTGAGTGTGGTCCCTGGCAAGACTGTTGTTATAGCTCTGTGCTACTGAGTGTGGCCCCTGGCAAGACTGCTGTTATAGCTCTGTGCTACTGAGTGTGGCCCCTGGCAAGACTGTTGTTATAGCTCTGTGCTACTGAGTGTGGCCCCTGGCAAGACTGCTGTTATAGCTCTGTGCTACTGAGTGTGGCCCCTGGCAAGACTGTTGTTATAGCTCTGTGCTACTGAGTGTGGTCCCTGGCAAGACTGTTGTTATAGCTCTGTGCTACTGAGTGTGGCCCCTGGCCAGACTGTTGTTATAGCTCTGTGCTACTGAGTGTGGCCCCTGGCCAGACTGTTGTTATCGCTCTGTGCTACTGAGTGTGGCCCCTGGCAAGACTGTTGTTATAGCTCTGTGCTACTGAGTGTGGCCCCTGGCAAGACTGCTGTTATAGCTCTGTGCTACTGAGAGTGGTCCCTGGCAAGACTGCTGTTATAGCTCTGTGCTACTGAGTGTGGTCCCTGGCAAGACTGTTGGTATAGCTCTGTGCTACTGAGTGTGGCCCCTGGCAAGACTGTTGGTATAGCTCTGTGCTACCGAGTGTGGCCCCTGGCAAGACTGTTGGTATAGCTCTGTGCCACTGAGTGTGGCCCCTGGCCAGACTGTTGGTATAGATCTGTGCTACTGAGTGTGGCCCCTGGCAAGACTGTTGGTATAGCTCTGTGCTACTGAGTGTGGCCCCTGGCAAGACTGTTGGTATAGCTCTGTGCTACCGAGTGTGGCCCCTGGCAAGACTGTTGTTATAGCTCTGTGCTACTGAGAGTGGTCCCTGGCAAGACTGTTGTTATAGCTCTGTGCTACTGAGTGTGGTCCCTGGCAAGACTGTTGTTATAGCTCTGTGCTACTGAGTGTGGCCCCTGGCAAGA